AAGATGAGTACTGTGGAGTGGTGTAATATGACATAGTGTCGGGTCATAGTAATTAGAAGTTAACTGCCGGTTTATAGACTTTTTTGCCGTATGAGTATACGTTGCCCAGGGTGCACCACAGGGAGGCAAGTCTATCGCACACCCCTGTACCAGAGAATATTGATATAGCGATTTTGAGTCTTGATTGAAGCTTATTTGTGTAGCACACGTTACAGAAGTTGAAAATAAAGATAAAGGATGAAAAATTGGATAATTGCGGCAGATTCTGTACTTCAGGTAAATGATTTTTGGGACACAAATTTTGTTTTACTAAATTGAGATTGAATTAGAGCTAAAAATGGAGAAGTGTTTAACTAATTTATCTACATCCGATAACAATTGGCAAGCACAAATAAGCACAAGTGCAAGGGTAATATCAATCAACAAATATGGAATCGTTCCGCACCAAGCCAATAAAATTGATTACTTAATTTTATGAATAGTAAATAAGTAATAGAGGATGAAGTGAAATATGAAATCACATCGAATTACTCTAATTAAGTGGATTAAGTCAGCAGGTCACCACACAAAAATGAAACTGCGGTCAAGAATATTGTGCATGCATGAGTTTTACAATATGTCCTATATCTGAATGTTCTATAATTTTACTGAATTATTATTCCTTATCAAGGCTGTAGGAAAAAATCTTTGGTAATCACTGGTAATCAATATATTTATTTGGAAAACTCCACTAGGTAATGTGTGCAGATATAATAGGAGGAAATGGAAAATTAAGAGTACTTTAACATTGGAATTTTATTTTGATGCATTTAGGTAGTAGTAAATTGAATGTAAAATTCCAATAAAGTGCAGTTTCCAAGGTTTGGATTGACATTATTATGAATTACGTACTGAGGTAGACCAAGCCCAATTACGAGTCCTATCAATTTAGGTAGAAGACAGCATGCCAGGATATGACTGATTTAATTTCCCCTAAACCATTTAAGGTTGACCAATCAGGTTTAATTTGGACAACTGATACCATTGGCCAGTTAAGAAGATAGCCTTAGGATTGAGTGAGTTAGTAAATGGGACTTTAGAGCGACCATGACCTAGGTCATCAGTGAACCTGAGGAAAGCCTGTACATCAGGACTATTGGTGTTCGGTTCGGTGTCATCAAAACATAGCGTACATTCTAACCTGGTGTAATGGTTAAAAATGAATGAGGCAACACAAGTGAACTGATGTTTACAAATAAGCTTTAATGTGTACTTACCATTAGCTATTAGCAAACATTCTTCTTAAAGTCTTAGATTACATATATTCACACAAGTTGGAGACTGTATTTAAGCTAATTTAACAGCCAAAATGTCGTCCTATTCTAATTAAAAGTTACTTCTGGGGCAGCAATATTTGATTGGAAACGTGATCTTAAAAATAAGCAGTTTTTGCCATTTGTTCTCCTATTGTAGCGTTTGTATTGTTGCCCAGTTGGAGCAAACGCTGAGGCGTGCACATCACTAAGTAATTGGCAGTGAAACTTAAAATGGAATAAACTCTGACTTATGCCATTGAAGAAGAAGCCATCAATCTGAAAAGAAACATTCAAACAAGAGGAGAGGCCTCTAGGTATTTGGTATGGATAATTATACCAAATGGCAGTCTTTATGATAGTTATCATGTTGCCTGGATACGAAATTCATCAAAGCGGTGATACTTTCGGACTCGCAGTCAGCAATAAACGCAATTGGAAGCAGAGAGCCACCCAAAACAGCTGTGATAAAGGAATGTAGAAAACTCTATGAGCTGCTGAGAGAGAAAAACAAAACAGTGGTCCTACAATGAATTCCTGGTCACTGTTGCATTAAAGCAATGAGCTTGCTGACACACTTGCAAAGTAGGGACAACGATTTTGCAAGGTATAGACCGGTCGATGTCTTTTCGCACAATGGAGGCATTAATCAGGAGAGAATTCCAGACCTCAAGGTGCAACGAACTTAACGCTCGAACAAAGGAGAAACAGTGGACAGTAGCACTCTCCGATATACCCGACTGGCCAAGAATCGAAGCCGTTACTGAGTTCAGACTACGTACCGGACACGATTGCTTGGCAAAACACCTTCAAAGATTGGAGTATATACTCAACCCACATGCCCCCTATGTAACCTACAGGAGGAAATGGGGAAGACCCACCTGATTCGATGTCCAGCCCTAAAGACAACGACGGGAAGCCAGAGACACTGTGAAGAAAGAAGATGGCTAACGAATTGCCATTAATTAACTGCTATAAATGTACCCCCCACCCTTGGGGGAAGCTGAAGTCAAAGTTTAAGGGCTAATGATAAATATTACAAAGCCTGCCATGTGAAATAATAATGATAGTTATCATCAGCCCTTTGTATGACTTCGGGCATCCCAGAGAGGAGGAACATCAGAGTGAGAAAAAATGAAGAGTGATTCAAAGATGTAAATAAGACAGACAGACAGACACAAAGAGAGGAAGAAAAATGAAAGGTAGCTAATGCAGGAGAGGTTGAATATGACACACAGTGGGGCCATGATATTTGTAGTCAATTTCCGGTTTATGGACATTTTTTGCTGTATGAGTAAGCATTGCCCTGGGTGCACCACATGACTGTGAGCCTACTACGTACCCCATGTGGTTTTGATATACTTGTAAACACTACAAGTTTTGAATATTTAAATCTAATTGGTTAGACTTTTAAAATTTGTGAATTTTTACAGCCATGAATCTAATGTGTAAATAAAATATTTAGATAAATATTGATTTGGTAATGGGTCAATTTTGCTAAACATATCAATTTGTTTGTTTTTAATGTGGCCATTTTGATAATATTTCTTTTTAAAAAATCCATGAACAATAAAAAACCTATCAGTTTTGAGACTAGTAAATATGGCATGTTCTAGAATAACTAATTGGGTTGACGTGATATTCGTCTCTTCTATATTAATATCGATGTCATAAAAATCTACATCTGAAAATATTTTCTTTCTGCAAATTGATATAGGTTTGAAATTTTCTTTTATATTAAACATTCTACTTTCCATTCTTCAGTAGACACTCCGTTGAGACTCCCCAAAGTGTCCTGCAATAACTTAATTTATTCACAATGTCGAAAATTAAATTAATTTGGTTTTTTCGAAGAACTGCGGAAGCATTTATCAAAAATACTAAGGGCTTTTGCAAAAATGTAACGTGTTTAACCATGTGAATAAATTAACAAACAGTAAATAATTGACAACAAATGTCATAAACAACCATAAGCCAAAACCGCCGAACTCTGTTACGGTAACAGAGTTACCGTAACATTCTGTTACCTGGTAACAGAATGAGGAATTCGGGTTCTAGATAGCTTTTAAGATTCTACAATGTACACGAAGTTTGCTACTTGAGGCAGAATTTGAATTCTGAAATATATTAATACGAGGCCTGTAGTAGATTGCTACCTTAGTAAAGCCTGACTGACTCAGAAATCTCTATGGCAGATTCTCCAACATCTAGCTAGACTCCCAGAACCAGTTAAGCTATAGCCCAGCTATAAAGGAAACAGACGTGTAGCACGGAGCACGTTTATTCAGGACGTATATTGCGGATAAAATGCACACGCAGGAAGCTTAATCATGATCAGGATGGGGGATTAGGTTAAACAGAGGTTGATGATTGGTCACTGTTTGTACGGTCGCTGCACACAGAGTTGTACGGTCGCACCTCCCAATCCTGGCGAGCAGACATGCAGACACACGATGACGCACACAGCGATAATGTGTCCCACAGGCCTTTATTAGTATAAACACAATACGTACGCTAAAAGGCTTATGTGATTAAAGTTTTGTTCCCCTGTACTACTTATCGTCAACGGGGTTTCTAAAATTTTAAGGCATAGTTACGGCCCGTTTCTAGGATCACCGGAACTAAAGTCTCAATTGTAATGCAATTTCAGTAATGCGTGTCAGACTTTGGAGCCCTTAAATGCCATGGTCCTAACAATGAATCATATCTGTCTTTTGATTCATTGATTTAACTATATAAAGCTCCATATTTCCAACTAGATGTATTTAAATTTGATTAAATGCACCCAGTTTGCAAGAATTCAGAGAAGGGTAAAATGTACTTCAAAATAAGAAAATAGTGTGCAGGTCAGGTATTAGAAGCTTAAGTTCAGATATCGATAATGCACTAATACGAGGTTCAAACATTCAAATAAGATTTTAAAAATAAAATCAAATCCCCTTACAACACCACTTGTTTATCTTTTTATTGAAACGCATGGTAGTGAATACAGTATTTGCATGAACGAATGGGAATCCAAGTAATTTTAATTAAATATTGCAACCTACCATTTGCAACTGCGTGACATAGTAATTTTGTTGGTAGCTTTCAAAAGATTTTAGCAATACAGGTTATGAAGGAAGCAGATAGAAAATTGGTTTCTTATTCAATATGTTGAAATAGTGGGTGTGCAATAAACTTACCTTCAAGTTGTGCAGCCTGGACAATGTATACTCATACGGCAGAAAAGTTCACTACCTGGTAGTTGACTTCTGACTTTTAAATAGCGTGACCCGGCACTGTGTCATGCTCCACCACTTTCACAGTATTCAACTTACCTTTACTCTACTTGTGTGTCGATCTGTCTCTTTTGCATCTGTGAATCACTCTTCTTCCCCCCCCCCCCCCCCCTCCTTCTCGAATTTTTTCACTTTGATGTTACTCCATCTGTGAAACCTAAAGGCAGTGAAAAGACCATGATAACAATCAAAATGCCTGCCTTCTGAAATAAATGCTGAAATATTGATCGTGTAGAAGGGCGAACCATAATTGGATTAACACGTTGAGAATAAAAAAATTCGGAAAATGGAAAAGGCCATTAGGAACACAAATGAGAAGAAACTTTTATTTATTTATTTCAAATGGCAGGCTTTATGATATTTATCATTAGCCCTTAACCTTTGACTTCAGCTTCCCCCAAGAGGGGGTGGGTACATTTATAGCAGTTAATCAATAGCGATTCATTAGCTGTCTTCTTGCTTCCCAGTATCTTTGGCTTTCCGTCCTTGTCTTTAGGGCTGGACACCGAATCAGGTGGGTCTTCTCCATTTCCTCCTGTAGGTTACATAGAGGGCATGTGGGTTGAGTGTATACTCCCAATATGTGAAGATGTTTTGCCAAGCAATCGTGTCCGGCACGTAGTCTGAACTCAGCAACGGCTTCGATTCTTGGCCAGTCGGGTATGTCGGAGAGTGCCACTGCCCACTGTTTCTCCTTTGTTCGAGCTTTGAGTTTGTTGAACCTTGAGGTCTGGAATTCTCTGGTGATTAAGGCCTTCATTGTGTGGAAAGACATCGGCCAGTCCATGCATTGTAAAATCGTTGTCCCTACTTTGCAAGTGTGTCAGCAAGCTCATTGCTTTAATGCCACAGTGACCAGGAATCCATTGTAGGACTACTGTTTTGTTTTTCTCTCTCAGCAGCTCATAGAGTTTTCTACATTCCTTTATCTCAGCTGTTTTGGGTGGCTCTCTGCTTCCAATTGCGTTTATTGCTGACTGTGAGTCCGAAATTATCACCGCTTTGGTTCTATCCTAATGGCCTCTATTTCTCCTTCAAAATCGGATCTATTATGTCCCGCTGTTGCGTAGAAAGAGAAGAGTTCAGAATAGACACCTGCACCAACGTTTGCTTGGCTTTCTATGTATGACCCATCAGTGAAGACTTGGAGCCATTGATCTGCAGGATAGTTGACATTGATAGTCTCAAGGGCCAAAGAAAGCATTTGCTTTGTAGGAGTGTTTGATTTCCTGAAGAAGTCGAGCAGTTGGGTGCAAAACACTACATCAATGTCTGCTAATGGGTTCATGGGGAGAGAGAGGCTTTTTGGTTTATCATCGATTTGTAATGCTTTCTTCAGTTCTATGGCTTTCTGTATTAGACCAGACTGCGTTTTCAGATGTCTTGGTCTATTCTCATAGGTGCTGAAGAACTTGTCCATGGGAATGCGCAGTAGCTTCTCGTACAGGATCAAGGCCTTTTCTTTGATAAGGGAACCTATTGTGATGCTTCCTGTAACTAGGATCATTGCATCAATGGGTGTTGATTTTATCCCTCCAGTAATTAGTCGTTATGCTTGGTTGTGTGCCTTCTCGAGTGGTTTGAGAGTCACCTCTGTGGCTGTAATGAGTAGCTCACAGCAATACGACATTATTGGCTGAATAAACATCTTGTAAGTGGTGTTGAGAGTTGAGCGTGCACAGTCCCATACGCTACCAGCAAGACGCTTCAGGACATTCAGTCT